CGGGGTTGTTAGAATGAGGTTGCCCATTTAGGTTCATGGGAGGTTCCCCTTTCCTCAATGAGGCATGTCTCCTTGTCCATGTATGACTCTACTTCCTCAGTATGCCTTTTCGTGGTGTAGCCAAAATTTGGTGTGTTGACATGGTCCAAAGACATTGGTGGCAGAGGCTAATACGAGGTAGCTTCAGCCAATTGAAACACCACCCGAACAAAGGTTATGTTTGGTTTGATATATATAGCAATAAGAGGGAAACAATTAAATAGGAACAAAAAGTTGATAGAAAGTTTTAACAAATATGGCAAAGTTTCTTGAGAAGTTTCTCTCACATTTTTGTTTCTCTATTGTTTTCTATCAAACCGAACACAATCTAAGGCTTTTTATCTTCCACTCGAAAAGTCATCTAGGTAGTTATCGAGTTGAGAAGATGGAATTGGTATACCTTAGCACCTCTGGTCCAGGTTCACGTTGTAATGGTTTTATCCCCTATCATTTTGTTTAGAAGTGACCAAAGTCCCCCTCCTAGAGATGAGTTCTCTTTTGTAACCCCACCAAAATGTCAAGTCATCTAATTTGAGGTGTTGTACCATTGTATCAAAAGGTTTGATTTTGTTTTAGTGCAAGCACAACATTATTGTAGCAAAAGTGATTTGCCTAGCTACATATTTGGTGCCTTCTACAAGCCCAACCTTGTTGATTCAGTTTCTAGGAATAGGTGCCTCGAATTGGAATCAGAATGGCACATTTTGGTTTCTATTTTGATTCCTACCATTTATTTAGAAAGAATCGGATTCTGATTCCCATTTTTTGGGGAATGGGTGCCCCCCACATGGGAGAATGGCCATTCTAGCCCCCTCGCCCCAATCAGATTCCCATTCCAAAGTTCGTCAAGAAGTAAGAACTCATGACAAAAATCCCCCAAACCCTAAAATTAATAAAATAATAAAGTATTAATAAATTAATAACAACAAACAAAGATATGAATTGTTAAATATAATAATAATAAAATATAAATAAAATGTTAGTAAGTATTAAGAAAATCATAATAATAAAAAATTAGTAATTAAATAATAAAACAACACCATAGTATTAATAAAATAGTAATGAAATATTAGTAAAACATTCATAAAATAATACTGTTATAATAAGGTATTAGCAATAATAATTCAATACAAATAAAATATTAATACATTATAATTAAAGTAATACTAAAATACTAACACATGAATTATTCAATAACAATAAATTAATTTTAAAATAACAAACAAATAATAGAAATTAATAAACTAATAAGAAAATAACAATAAAATTGAATAAAATAACAAATTATTAAGAAAATATAGTAATAAAAATATTATTAATGTAATAATAAATGAACAATATATTAATAAAATATTCATAAATAAATGGCAAGTTCTGAGATATTAATTATTAAATAATAATAAAATGAGAATAACAAAGTAATAACAAAAATCGAAAATATTATTTATTAAATAATAATTATAATTAAATACAAATAAAATATTAATATAACAAAATGAAAGTAATAATAAAATACAAATTATTAATTATTAAATATTAATAAAATAATAATAATAATAACAGAGTAATAAAATAGTAATAAATAGAAAATTTTCAAAATAGTAATAAAATAATAATTATATATACATAAAATATTAATAAAATAATAAATAGACTAATACATAATAAAAAATTTTCAATTGACTCTGATTGCAACTCTTAGTAAATCAAACATCAACAAATGGAATTTGAATTTATTTCTTAATTGAACCAAACATACATCAAAAATAGGTGATCCAATTTCGATTTTGGTCCTATCTACGAATGAAATGGACCCTTAGCTTGAGTTTCTTTGGTTAGGGAGCACTGTAAGGCTCATTTCTCTAGTTTGGGACCCAAATTGGGGTGGGTATAATCACAAGATTTGGGCCAGAAACTTAAGACTTTTAGTGCCTGTTTTGAAGGTCATTCCCACAATGGCTTCCAGATTTGCAAGGTAAGCTTACACAAATAACCCATGAACCATGTGTTCGGGTGATGCCTCAATTGGCCGAAGCTGCCACGTGTTAGCCTCTGTGGCTGGCGTCTTCAGACCACATTAGCACACCTCATCGTGGTCACATCTTGAAAGGCACAGTAAGAGAGTAGAGTCCCACACGGAGAAGAAGACATGCCCCACCGAGTAAAGAGGGACCTCCTTGAGACAAAGGACTTTTCATCTCAACCTACTTCTGCATCCCTTGCATTCACCATCGTTCAAACTAGTTTTTTCTCTTTGGCTCGTCTTAACCGAACACCCATTTGCCTTATTAACTTGAGCATCGGAATGCCTACCCAGGGAACAACTCCCTAAGCCTTTGATACTCCTTGCATTTGCAAATTACCTCAATGCACTTCTTCGTCCTTCCACCTCGGCCTCGTCTAGTTGGTAGGACTTATCTAACAGTGTCCTTGGTTTAGCACACCTCAGATCAGACAACATAAGAATGGTGTTGTTTGTACTATGACATTGGTCGATTGGATACGTAGTCTTCGACAAATGGTTGAGGCTTGGAAGGTGGAGAACTCCTACTTGAAAGCTGAAGTGACCAAACTGAAGAATGCCATGGAGGATAGGGATGACGACCTGAGGAAGCTAAAGAGTCGGGTGCACCATCTAAAGGACAATTAGGTCAAGGCCTAGAAGGTGGCCAAGAAGGCTAAGGTGAAGCTGGCCTGGGCCAAGGAGGAAGCGATCACTAAGTACAAGGCATTTGAGGCATTCCTACTTGAGCTTGACAACTATGCCATTGACTCCTGGTAGATCGGGTTTTCTCAATGCAAGAGGAGGGTCTTGCACTTGTTCCCTGAGGTGGCTCCCGTGGTGGAGAAGCTTGGCTCGTGGGACATTGAGGAGAGGACGGGAAAGCAACTTGCCTAGCCTAATAACGTGACCATGTTCAAGGAGAAGACTCATGCCAACGACGCAGCAAACGAGTAGTGATCCACAATTTCTTTTCTATTTTTTCTTTTTTGATTTGATGTATAACTCGGGATGCCGAGATTTTGCCTTGTACAATAATTTTCTCGAAATGAATGAGAACTTCTCCTTTCTTTTTGTCTTCATTCTTGTGCATTTTGCTTTGTTTTTAACTATGGTTCTTGGTCATGATCACTTGGCGAAAATTCTTGTTAGACCACCTTGGTTCCTACTAGACAAAGTGTTTTTGAGCTCTCAAAGGTCGTAGTGGGGAGCTCAATGGCACGTAGCCCTATAAATTTTATGCTTTTCAGCCAGGCCAGCCGTGGTCTTCGACTGACTTTGTCCCAACCTTAGGACGGTAGGTGCCCAAGAGTCTTTGGCAAGGTTGACTCTGAGTTCTTATAAATTAAGAATGTATTGTTACTTTGTACTACCCTTTTCAATTGGGTCCGAGCTTGTCCTCACCAGGTTTAGGTATGATGACCTTGCAAAGAACGGGATCCCTATCTTGAACTCTCTTTCATGGACCTTGGTGTTGTAGTGCTTGGCCATCTTTTGTTGTTGTGCCACCATCCTGACATGTGCTCGGTCTTGGGCTTCTTCCAATAGATTGAGTTCAATCCGTATATCTTTGTTGTTTACTTCTTGATTGTAGAATTTGGTTTGGAGTATGAGGGACCCAATCTCTACGAGGATTACTTCCTTGTCTCCAAACACCAGACTGAACGGGGTCTCTCTAATGATTGTGCTTGATGTGGTTCAATGAGCTTAGAGAATGCTTGGGCTTTCTGATCAAAACATGCTTTCTGCTCAATCTTCTTGTGTAAGCATCTCTAAAGCAATTCAATGAAATCCTTTGAATCAATGTTTCAGGCCTCCCAAACGGTGCAAGCCAAGCTACGGCTTAAAAGGAAGGCAACTAAAAGCTTCTGCAAGAGATTAGAGAATAGAAAGCTTGCTTATATCTGCTAATTGCTCGATTCAGGTGGAGGTGGGCTAGAAGCTATGAGTGAAGATGGTGGTAGGGTGAGCCCTGGTGGCATTTGTGCGAGGGTCAAGAAAGAAAGTACTTCACTCACATCTTCTCTCTGTGGAGAGAGAAGATGGGGTAAAAGTGATCACTTCGGAGCATAAGCGTATTGTGAGAGTAGGGTACTAGGGTAAACTTGTAAAGGAGTCAGTTCAGATGAGTGAGACCTTAGGTCTTTTCTTCTTAGGCAAAGAGTGTGCCCGAGAAATGAGGATTATTTGTGGGCTGCTTTGGATCAATGGCAAATGGAGGATTAAGATCGAACAAAAAATGACTCTCTGGACGAAGCTGATATCAACTTTCACTTTGGGGGTTTGTCGTGTAATAGAAAAACCTACGAAAATTGTGGACTTGTATGTAGATAGCGTTGTTCATCAAATAAGTTCCTAGAGGCTTAAAGAGTACCAAAAGAAGGGGTAGAGGATCTATGGTTGGGTCCTAGCACTAGGAATGGGAATGTGGCGGGTTTAGGGCGGAGGATCATATTCCTTGTCCCCAACCATGATTCTTAAATTAATCTCATCCTCGTCCCTGATTTCCACCAGGGATAAAATTTGTCCTCCATCCCCGATCCCCAGTGGGGATGGGTTCCCCATGCAGACCTGAATCCCCAAAATTTTTTAGATAACAATATTTTTTAGAAAAATAAATAATGTTTTAAATATGTTTTGATATATATAATATAAATAATATATTAATATACATATTAAATATATATATATAATTGGGTTGAGGCAGGGTGGGGACCTCAGTCTCCATCCACGATCCAACCGGGTCGGGGAAGTCGGGTCCCGTCGGGAATGGAGAAAATTGCCATCCTTACCTGGCAGTGTTGGGGCTTCCGTTTAATTGATTTGAGCTCTGCTTGGATCTCCTATATATGCTTTTTTTTCTTTTCTAATAAATTTTTATTTTATCATATAAACAAAAAAAAAAGAAAAATCATTCTTGCACTCAAATGAGTGTGACCAAAAGAAGAAATGGGGGCACCTAGTTGAGTAGATCCATTGTGTCCAAATGCCATGCTGACTTCCACTTGGAAATGCTGAAGGCCTTTCAGCTAGTGCAGTCAGTGATGTATCAGCATCTTTATTTTGAGTAATAGCTAACCGTGGGTAGCGCTGGAGTAGATCCAGAGCGACATCTTGGAAGAAAACAAACAACAATAAGGGTGTTAATATATATTGTGATGAAGTGCTTCTGCTACTTTACCCTAAAATATAAGCTTATAACATTATGCCCTCACCGTAGATCTCAGGCTCAGTAGTAATTGCTTCAGTAAGAAGTTTGGCTCCATTATTATTACTTTTCTAAGGATTAAATTCAACCTCTGGTGTGACTGAGTAAAGGAAGCGCACCGTATCCTTGAAGCCAAAGCCAGCAGCCACAGTAACTGGGATAAAACCATAATTATTTGGTATGCATACCAAACCTGTACTCTTTCTAACCAATAACTCCGCAATCTTTGTATTCCCACCCAAGGCAGCACGGGAAAGGGCTGTGTCACCATTAATGTCCTTCAGTTCCAGGTCTTCTGCGGACATTAATTGTATCAGCTTATCCACCATGAGAACATTGCCATTGTCAGTCGCAATATGTAGAGCAGTATCCCTTATCGTTGTGATCTTGACCCTCACTGCATCTGGATGGCCATCAATGAATCTTTTGGCATTCTCCCACTCACCCTGGTCGACGGCCTTCTGTAGGGGCAGATACATACTATAGTCCTGGAGATTATCTGTCACAAATTTGATTCAATTAGAAAACTTTCAAGTTATGTTTGGGACATAATTATGATGGATGCACTAACCCTCAGTACTCAATCATATTTCTAGATGCCATGGTCGGTACTCTGTAGGCAGGAATTAAATAATCGGAAATCTGATCACTATCCTAGGCCAATATATAAAGCTTTCTTTGTATACTTGTTCATAACTTTTCTGTCCAAAAATTCATCCAGAAAATGAGGCCGGGTAGACAATTGGAGTGGTATTCTGCCCTTTGGTTTGCTAGAGTGGACAGCATCCCTTTCGATTGATACCAAAACCCAAAATCTAAAATGACCGAGTAATCTTAATTTTGCTGTTTAATTGAAACTTGAATGGCAAAACTTTTGTAACAGTATAGATATATGTCTAAAAAACGTTCACACTTCTATTTGTGGAGTCAGCACTAAAACCCATTTTACATGATGATACATGAATGGAATGGGTTGAGACCTGAGATGATAAGTTATCTTCGCGGTAGACGAGCAGTTTAAAATTTCCGAAATAATTGAGATTCCCTTGAAAGCTGAAACAAAGCAAAATCCAATGGCAAAATTTAAGGGAAAAAGGGTGGGTCCTATAATAGACATTTACCTTCCTCTTCCTCTGCTGGGCTTGGTTCTGTTTCCTCTGCTGACTTGTGAATAGAGGCCAAATTATCCCAGGCATCTTTAGCTACATCAATTAGTTCGATCTGAGAAAACATATCAGCTCCACATGTAATCTAGATAGTGTGTAGAGCCTGTGCGTTCTTCTTTCTCCACATCTTGTACTGAGGTTGAGTAGCTTCAGGGATAGGCTCTGTTCCATCAACAATTTCCCAAAGCTCTCCACCCAGCAAGTAGTTTCTTAGCCAAACTCTCCATTTTTTATAATTATCCTTTGTAAGGAGTTCAGGGACGATTGCACTTGGTGCTATTTTATTTGTGGAGGACATCGATCCTTTTCTGTCATGTTATGTACGTATATGGAAATAATAGCCAAGGCATGAGAAATCTTGAGTTAACAAAAGAAAACACAACTAATACTGTAACAAATGATAGCGCCCTCATTAATTTTGGATTTTATTTATTTTTCATGATCATGGTATTAATATTTCTTAGTGTAAAATATATATTTCGTTTATATTTTTATTTAGAGCAATATTAAAAATCGGAAAACCATGGAAGAAACTCATAAGAGCATAGGGATAGGTATGTCTGAATTTGATTCAATAAGAAATCCAACAGATTTGAATTCATTAAGAATCCAACACATCTATGAGTCTTGGGTCAGGCTCAGGCGCGCTTTAGGGGCATGGGCTAGCGGGCCTTCAACCGCCCAAGCACAAAACAAAAAGCTATTGATTCCTTCATAGGTCCCATGAATGACTCTAGATATGTGTGTGGTGTGCATAAATTATGATATGGGATCTAAGTTGTTGGTTTAGTCAATGTGGATGTGTAATTTACAGTTAGCGAACACAAGTGTGAAAACTGAAAACAGCTTTTTCATCCCTTGTAGAGTAGACTGACTGAAGAGTACGTAAACAAAAAAAAAGTCCCACTTTTCCATTAATTAAACAATATTCAACCAAAACTCCCACTTCCCATTAATTAAACAATATTCAAGCACTCTAATATTGTCTTCTCCTAGTCTGATATTGATTCCTTCATAGGTCCCAGTCACAAGAAACAAAATAAAGTTTCGAATAGCTAGAGATATTTTCTTGATTGTTGGTGGTTGTTGATTAGAAAAAGACAAGCTTTGATATGAACATTTTAAAAAGGAGAGGTTGTTGAATAAGAAATAAGAAGGAATCACATCTTTTGTTTAATGTTTATGCAACGATATTCCTTCCGTGATTCATGATTAACGATTGATCCATGAATATTAAAAGGAATGGGGTGTTAAACAATTCATTTATTATAATATTAAATAAGTATGATAATATATTTTTCAAAACTACATGGTTCTTCAAACAAAGTTTATAAAATGCATAAATAACATTATAAATGTCTAAGAAAGAATACATAACCAATAAATAGAAAGAATCTCATTAAAAGCCTCAATCTAAAATCATAGGATACTTTCTAATTTAGTTGTATCAATGCATGGGTCAAAAGGAAGAAAGAAGAAAAGAAGACAGAAATTCTGGATTTTACTGGACACCGAATAATAATGGAAAACATTTAGATACCCTTTGGTAAATCTGTTTCAAAACTAGCTAGTTCCCATCTAATTGGAGTGGGCCTAGGCCAGCCCAGCCAATGATCATCCCTACCATTTGGAGGGGCTTTCAAGCTGCGGTTTTTGGCTTTGAGAGGTGAGGCCTAATTACAAAGTATATAGGCAATGTTTTGTAAAAAAAAAAATGAAGAAGGAAATTTAATGTTGATACAGCCATTTATGCATTTCTATGAAAGTGTAGAAAAAACAGCCCAAACTGTTTCTGAGCTTCCTACAAATGACAACTAATTACCATGGGAGGTGGCATAAAAGAATATTTACAATCAATATTATTTTAGTCAAACAGTTAACCTTGACGAGATTCTTCAGACTCTGGATTTTCTGCTCACGAGAACTCTGTTCATGTTTATCCACAACACACTATCCCCGTGAATTGAGAACATCTCCCCTGCATAATACTACGTATGAGGATGAGATGTTCTTCATGTGTGACTGCGATGTTATGTGGGTAGACGAGAACAGACTGTGTGACTGCGATGTTATGTGTGACTTTGAACACAAGGAATATTTCATTCCGAATCAAAGCATAAAAAACTTCGGAATTCGGGAATGAATGAATATGAATGGAAAAATTGGTTAAAGGGTCATTATCAATACGATTTATCTCAGACTAGATGGTTTAGATTAGTACCACAAAAATGGCGAAATTTTATAAAAAAGTGCCATTTACGTATTAATCGGGCACTTCTTCTTTTGAATATCTGCCAAATATTTTTTTGTGATTCTGATCTTTTATTATCACAACTAGTTTCCTTATTATTATTATTATTATTATTATTATTATTAGGATTTGTGTACGCATGCATCATAAGAACGATGTAATTATTACCCAAGCTAGGGGTGGCAAATGGGTGGGTTAGGTTAGGTTGGGTAAGGGTTGAATACCAAACCACCCATATTGACTCACCAACTCACCATGACCCATCATCAATCCTTGTTAGAAGGTTATAAGCCACCCATATTGACCCACTTGACCCATCCATATTGACCTTTAACCACACTCACTCATATTAACCCATCTACCCTCACCTATAAATACAAAAATGGGGCGAGATGGGTCATATACCCAAAATAATAATTTTTAAGAGGAACATCTCTCTCAAGGTTGTCACATGGAAGAAACGGGTCGGGTTGACCCATATATCGAAAATAACAAATTTTTTAGATGAGCAACTCTCAAAACTGTCATGTGGAAGAAATGGGTCAAGGCAACCTATACACTCGAAAATAACAATTTTTCTAAGAATAATCTCTCTCAATGATGCCACGTGAAAAGAACTGGGCCATGTTGACACATACCCGAAAAAAGAAAACATTTTGAGAAAATCATCTCTTAAGACTACCACATGACAGAAACGGGTTGGGTTGATC